CTCTCTCTCTCTCTCTCTCTCTCTCTCTCTCTCTCTCTCTTAACTAATTGTATAGTAGTTTGAAACACATTGTAAGCAAACTAAGTCACCCTATAATATACAATTGCACTACACTTTACTTACGAGAGCCCATAAGCACAGGAAAGGAAAGTCACTCAACAAACTTTGCCTTACTTTCAAATCATACCATTAGTCCAACATATTATACCCATTTCAACATAACGTCCCATCAGTTCCTCTCATTCATTATATCCATTCGCTCCTAATTTCCAATCGTTTCTCATTTAGACAACAATAACCACAACTCTATTCATACGAATCTTTTTATGCAATTTGTATTATATTTAGTCAATGGTTTCAATCATTTTATGAAACCTTATTTACCAGAGGTGACCACCAAAGAGAGAGAGAGAGAGAGAGAGAGAGAGAGAGAGAGAGAGAGAGAGAGAGAGAGAGNTGCATACCCTGTGCGAGATCGGCTCTTTCAGGACCGCTGAGATACCTCTGATGAGAGAGAGAGAGAGAGAGTGAGAGAGAGAATGTCTCGATTTCAGACTTTTAAACTGTATTTTAAAATAACAAAATTTTGGCACATCTTTGAGATTTTGTTAAAGAAATGAGTGAAGAATCGAGACATTGAAAAGTGAGCGCATACTTGAGAACCAAACTCTAGACTCGGATTCACAAATAGTTGTGAAGAGCACTCAATTGAAGGCAAATGAGACGCGAGTCCACTGTTCACTACAGAAGTATTGAAGTGCATAAGAGCTCATTGATGTGCAAAACATATTTTACCTACAATTTCATAGAAATCTAAAACATATTTTCGAAATTGAGTGATAATATAGAGTAAAGACTTGACACTAACTAATAAGATATAATGTATTTTGAAATTAAAAATAGAGACAACAGTAGACGGACTGACAGACAGGAATTGCAACAAATAAAAAGCAAAACTATATTCTAATGAAACATAAATTGCATTTAACGACAAAATGAGATATAATTGTTAATGGATTTGCAAAGTGAGAGAATACCAGACACTGGAGACACTGCCTTCTGAGTGAAAAGTGACTGAATATATCTCACATATAGTGTATATAAGTGACCCCCTTATCAATCATAACGAGTAATACTCCACCCAATGCTAAATAAGAAACGTTACATTCAATTTGGATTGCATTCACTTGTAATTAACGCAATCACTCACGCGATCGCAACATTTTTTATAATATCACTAAATATACGGCTAATATTGGGTATCACTTGTAAAATAGTGTCCATAATATGACAATTTGGTTGTGGAATGTGGTCTCAATGCTATCTCAATGCACTATCAATGACACCAAAAAATCAAACCTAACCAATAAATACTCAGACCAGCGATTGTTTGCACCAATAATTCATACGATTTGTTTTGACACCAATAAGTGTTTCACTCATTCATTCTTACCATTAATTAATAACAAAAAGTTAATGATTTTTTCTATTAATTGCATCTAAAGAATGATAACTGATTTTGAAATGCAAACCCTTGTTATCAGACAATCAGTTTATATAAAATATATTTTTAAGGCGTGAGTGACTATCATATCACGCAAAGTAACGCTTATTCAACAAACACTCCAATAAATAGCATTCATTTGACAATAAAATGATCTCATTTTTCACACTCACAAAAACCTTAGAGAACTTTAATTCATAAATTAAATCAAATAAAATCTCATTTAAATACTATATTAATTAAACAATTTATTATCGATGAAAGCTTCCTAACAGTTATATGAATAAATATATTTTAATATAAAGTTGAGTTAAGTATTCAATTGAATAAGTAAAGCATATGATAAGAAATTATTAAAAATAAAACTTTAAATTGAATTATAATATTACATGTATTATGTCTGGAATTCAGT